AGCACCTTCGTAAGCTGTGCATCGGCAAGCAGGTTCGCTTCAAAGTGGAGTACCGGGTCCCTGCCATCAACCGCGACTTCGGCTCCGTGTGGCTTCCTGCCAATTCGCGCGGCGTGGAGGAAAACTTGTGCGTCGTCCAGGCGCGTACGGGCTACGCGCGCGTCAAGACGCTAGAGCAGTCGCGTGACGGTGTGTGTGTGGACCACGAGAAGATGCTGCAGCAGGAGCAGGTGGCTATCAACGAGAAGAAGGGAATGTACGCCGACGCAGACGTCGAGTCCAATGCCACAGTTCAGTGGCACGGTGCCGACTCTGCGGCGCTGCTGCAGGAGCACAAGGGCAAGCTTGTTCCTGCTGTGGTGGAGGCTGTACGGGACGGAGCCTCCCTGCGTGTGATCCTCAAGCCTTCGTTGCAATTGGTCAACTTTGGGCTGTCCGGAGTTCAATGTCCCCGACTCAACCCGCCCGTGAACGCTGCGGAGTCCGAGGAGCCTGTTCCGACTGGACCGGCGCCTCATGCACGTGAAGCCAAACACTTTTCAGAGGTGCGACTGCTGCATCGTGACGTGGAGCTGAAGCTCGAGGGTGTCGACAAGTACGGCAACTTGTTCGGCAGTGTGGTGCACCCCTCTGGTCGTAATATCAGTGTAGAGATCCTCAGGATTGGTCTGGGGCGGATGGCCGACTGGAGCTCAGCGTTCACCAGCGCGTCAGCTCGCGCGACGATGCGCAACGCTGAGAAGGAGGCGAAGCAGCAGAAGCTACGAGTGTGGAAGGAGTACGAGGCTCCTGTACTGCAGTCGGACAAGCGCATGACGGGAACGGTAGTGGAAGTTATCAGTGGCGACTGTCTAGTCGTGTACGTCCCCGATGCTGCGACGCCAGCAGAGCAGGAGAAGCGCATCTACCTGAGTTCGTTGCGTGCTCCTCGTCTGGGCAATGCGCGTCGTGGCGAGCCCAACGCTCCGTACGCTACGGAAGCCAAAGAGTTCGTGCGTCACCGTGCTATCTCCAAGACTGTGCACATTGAAGTGGAGTACGAGAAGCCCAGTCCTTCCGCACAGGGAGACGTCATGACGTTCGCCTCGGTGTTCCTGGAGCCTTCAGCTAACGCGCTGAAGAAGAACCCGCAAGCCAAGGGCGCCAACTTGGCTATCGACGTCGTGGCGGCTGGTCTGGCTGAGGTGGTGCGTCATCGTCCGGATGAAGAGAAGAGCGAGTACTACGACGACCTTGTGACGGCGGAGACGAAGGCGCAGACGCAGAAGAAGAACTTGCACTCGTCCAAGGAGTCTCCTGCCACTGAACGTCGCGTGACGGATCTGTGCTTCGACGCGACCAAGGCGAAGCAGTTTCTGCCTTTCTTGACTCGAGAACGTTCGACTCGTGCTGTCGTGGAGCACGTGTACTCGGCTACACGTGTGAAGCTGTTTGTGCCCAAGGAGAATTGTCTAATCAACTTTGTGGTGGCTGGGATCAAGTGTCCTCAGCCTGCTCGTCACGGCGCTCAAGGTGTTATCGTGCAGCCAGCTGAACCTCTCGGAGA